TCCTATCAGACAGAGCTTGGCCAGGCACTGGATTTAATCACGGCTCAACCAGGGAAAGTGGACTTGAATAGATATACAGAGACAAGGTGAGAAACTAGAGTTGCCTCCACGCACCACAGATACGTCATGACGAGCAGAATAGCTAAAAGCAGACACATTCTAGACCATTTCAGTATTCATTTGGTCTATCCAGGCCTTAAATAGGAATTACCAACAATTCTCACCTTACTGATTACTCCTGTATCTGTGCTAGTCAGTGTAAAAAAAAATAAAAATAAAATAAAAAAATCTGTATAAACTTGTATCCTACGGTGTATTTGTTTTATTAATTATCGCTGTGGAGATATCCCTTTATTTAACTTGTGTTTTATTGCTTTTGAAGGTATAAAGCCATTGTGAAATACAAGACGGCATTTTATTCTTTCTATCTGCCTGTAGCAGCGGCCATGTACATGGTAAGTTCTGATGGTGTGAGCCTTGTGGTTTGTGACCCCACATGTTGGACTATTTTAGAGAATGAAACTAGTTTCCTTGTGCAGATTACATATTGCCTATCCATGGGGGGATGGGTGCATGATGCATAGGAGGAGGTCCTCCGAAGTGACTTTCTGTAAATGTATTTTTTGGCAAGTGTTTTAAACATTTTTTGTCACGTATCCTTAGGCTGGAATAGACGGTGAGGAAGAGCATGGGAACGCCAAAACAATCTTATTGGAAATGGGGGAATTTTTCCAAATACAGGTGGGTGTATTCGTAGGAACTGGCAAAGTGCCTGAACAGACTACACAGAAGATCAAAACTGGCCATGGGGTGTGAGTAAGGACTTACTCAGTCCTAGGGCTTTGGTGATTGACCACAGCGAGTGATGGGAGGTTCATAGTTAGATGGCCATTGAACACAGGTGAAAAATGATTGAAGGCAGGCAGACGAATGGACATTGATAGAACACTGTAGATCATGGGATACAGAAGAAGTCAGTAGCAGGGCACAAGTGGAGTTTTTTGGCATTGTGAGGTATTATGGACGCAAAGTAAGAGTAGCAGGACACAAATGGACAATTGTCCACAATAGGTTGAGTGTATAGTAAGTTAACAGCAAGGCATGGAGAAAACACAAAAAATATTAGTTCTTCAGCGAGGACTAATAGGGGCATAAGGCTAAGAAAGTTTGTTATTAAAGAGCATATTCAAAAAAGCATTGTGTAGTGTGCAGTTGGGGAGCTTGGAAAGAGGTGAAAATGAAAAGAGCAATGTCGTAACAGTATTTTAACATTCCTGGCAGGACGATTATTTGGACTGTTTTGGAGATCCCAGTGTGACAGGCAAGATTGGAACGGATATCCAGGACAATAAATGTGGCTGGCTGGTAGTGAATGCATTACAAAGAGTGACTCCTGATCAAAGGAAAATACTAGAGGTAAAAATGTGATTCTTTGTTTGCCCTATAAACCTTTTTAAAACTTTGTTCTAGATGTGCAGAGTTGGCAAAATGCTGTAAGATGGATCGCACAAGACATTTAGATAAATATTTACCAACTATATAGAAATTCTAAAGTTGTTCAAGAACTATTTAGAAATAAAAAGGGTAGACAGTTCTATTTGGCGACCTGCAGTTTTTGGATGTGAAGCAAAGATGAAGGATAGCAGAGCATTAACTTTTTATGTCCTTCTAGGAGAACTATGGCCAGCATGACATGACGAAAGTACAGAATGTCAAACAGTTGTATGAGGAGCTCGACATGCCTTCCGTCTACAAACAGTATGAAGAGGATAGCTATCGGCGTCTGCAGTTACTAATCTCACAGCATGCAAATGGATTGTCCAAGGAAATCTTCAATGGTCTAGCTCGCAAGATCTACAAAAGACAGAAGTAAAATGCCAGGACTGTCTAAACACACAAGACTGCATCAAACTGTAAATATACATGTGTAATGACCATGCAAAGAGTTGCACGGGGTAACATCCTTCTGATCACAATCATCTAATGACTCTTAGGAGAAACCATCTCTAACTAAAGACTCCATTTAAAAGCGTCAACATTTAAGTCATTTTCACATGAATCTGGCACAGACCAGGAGCGTTTATTTCCAAGTTGTCCAAAGTGCAGAACTTTACGCCAACAGTTTTGAGTTAAAAGATTGGCTACGTTCTCAATAGACTTCTCAGGCCATCAGAACAAGATGCACCACTGAAGACTCTTAAATATCCCATTGTGAACATCATGTGAAACAGGTCATTACATGGAATGCTAAACAAATAAGCTGGCACTC